TCTGATATATGTAAGAAGGTATTCGGTACTAGGTAGCTGAGCAGGTCTCCGGTACCAATTCTGAGAGGGGTACCGCAGGTGATTCTTATGAGAGGGTCCTCGGTACAAAGTCTGAGAGGGGTACCCCAGGGGCTTCTCAGCAGACTTCGGTATGGCAATTTCATTGTCAGTTTTTTGGTCTGCGGTTCTGGGAACCGAGGAGGGGTATTTTGACGACGAAAAATGCCATTTTTCATGAAAAAAATGATACCGAAGAGGCCATAACTTCTATTTTATCAAGGGAAACCTTTCCTAAGGCATGAGGGGAAGAGGTGGTGTGTTGGGAAGGCAAAAAGTTGAGGAGACAAGGCATGTGTAAAGGGGAAAAGGTTGAGTGTGCAGGGAAATTAATGGACAAAAGGTGATAGGATTGGTCAAAGTCACATGGTTTTTGTCTTGTAGGGAAAATAAATGTGGATGACTCTTTCCAAAATGAGTAACAAGGACAAATGACTTTTGCAAACCAATTAATACGTCCAAACTTCTCTTAAAAAGATCTACATCAACAATATTTGAAGAACAAGAGAACTTCATACCTCTTGGAATGAACAAAAGTTGTTGGAAAAAGTCTTCAAAGAAAATTCTTTTCTCCACTTTCTTCAATAAAGCCCAAGATTTTTGTGTCTTATTTTGCATGAAGAAAAAAAAACTTCCTAGAACACATTCTTCAAGATCTTCAAATATTTTTAGACCACAAAAAAAAAAATCTTCTTCTCCCTTTTTCTTCTTCTTCTTCTTCTTCAACATCATCATATAAATCTTTGTAAACCCGGATTTTCTCAGCAGTTTAATGAACAAGCAACAACAACTTTTTTATTCTTCTAAGCTTGAATCAACACTAAAAAATAGAAAAACTCATCACAAAAATTTCCGCTTTGAAGCCGAAAATTCTTGCAAAAATCGAACAAATCTTCAAGATAAACACTGATCAGGAGTCGTTCCCTTGAACTAGTCGCTTGAACCTTCAAGGTACGGCTCTGATACCAATTGTTGAGAGAAAAACTTGAACAAACGTTAGTACAAGATAATAAGTTGCGGGATAAAAGTTAATCTCGAGGATCTTGTTAGCTCAACAATAATAAGTTAGAAGTGTTATATTGCAGAAATATAAAGGAAATATAAATGACAACAAGTTATATCAAGTAGACACAAAGTTGATCTTGCCACCAGATGGTGACACTTGGCACCCAACTTGACGAGTTGGAGGCTCAGAACTCGCCGAGTTGGGCCATTTCCCAGCCTATAAATAGAGGCGCAAATCTTCCATTTCCTTCACACCTCTCCCATTCTTTCTCTCTCAAATATCTCTGTAAACCCCTCTCAAGCCTTAGTACTTCCCAAGTGCTAAGAGGCGAATCCCGGAGCGCCAGAAGGCTCCGAGAAGAAGAGCTTCCAGCTCGGAAGTTCTACCCCCGCAGAGCCCCGGTTCCTAGCCAAACCTCCTAGTAACCGAGTTATGCTTACCCTACTTTAAGTATAGCTTATGTTTAAGTGTATTATCGTTATTATGAACTTATAAACAATATATATATATATATATATATATATATATATATATATATATTATAAAATATAACATACAAGGTGTTATTATAATATCTTTTAACTAGTCACGGTACGGGGAATCTGGTTTGAAGGGCTGCATAGGGTTGTTAGATTTAAAAATTTCTATAAAGCCAAAAATGGTCCTACACTCCGGTGTTTCATGTCTGGCCCCTATCTGTACATAGTGGTTTAAAAGTATTGTTTAACACTTATAAAAAACAATATCGCTCATAAATAGTCGCAATAAATATTAGACTAAAATCTAGTGGTAATGATACTAGGTTTCGCCGAAGGAAAATAGAATTATTAGAAGCGAAGCTCTGCCCGAGTTTGGAATCATCACTTTAACAAGTGAGTGCATAGTTACTTTCATCTTACACATAGATATGAAGTATTTAATATAAATTATGTGATATGTGCGTGCATATTATCTGTGTTATTGATATCTATGCCGGATGAACAAAATATACATGTTTTATTTGATTTAAACTGTATATGTATTTTATACCTATAAAAATATTGGGTAAAGATGGGTAGATGAATGATGAGAGATGAAAGATGATGTAGATGAACATTGGCAACTATGGACTTGGTGTCTGATAGATAAACCCTGGCAGCTATGGACTTAGTGCCAAATAGATAAACCCCGACAGCTATGGACTTAGTGTCTTGCAAATGAACATTGGCAGCTATGGACTTAGTGCCTTACAAATGAACGGTGGCAGCTATGGATTTAGTGCCCTATAAATGGATATTGGCAGCTATGGACTTAGTGTCTAACAGATAACATCGGCCGCTCACTACTAGAAAATAGCCCTTTAATGACGCGCAAAAAATGACACACGCTGATAGAGGACACGCATTTGTGCGTGCCCTAAAAAATAATGTCAGTTTTGCCAAATTTGAAGGATGGAGGACACGCATTTGTGCGTGCCCTAAAATTAGTGTCAGAAAAGAAAAAAAAATGCGGAGGGCGCCTTTCATAAAATGTGTTTCATCTAAGTGTGTCGCTTTATAATTTTTTAATGAAACACAAGTTTTAAGGCGGGATTTCACCCGCCTATTGGATCCCAAAAATTAAAACCCCCCGCCTCTTTCAATTAGCAAGAAAAAGCCCAAGGGCCTTCGTCTTCATAGCAGCATCGCACCACCACCCAACCTCCGATCTCGCACCGCCAAGTGTCTCCGACCATCTTCTCCAACCATTCTTTCCTGTCGCACTACACCGATAACAAAACCCCCATCATGATATGCTACTATTTGTATTTCCGGCTTCCAATTACGTCACATATCTTACCTTCCAACCGAAACAAAGTAAAATCCATTGTTTCGCCTTCTTCTCCAACCATTTGGGAGAACTTGTTTCCAAACGTTTCTACGTTTCATTACGTTTGACCAGCTTCTAAGCCAATTTTCCGTTCCATCTTACGAACACATCCTATTTTTCTTCTTCAACGATTCCCTTCTCCTCTAACCAAATTTCCCGGCTTCTCCCCTGACTTATACGAACTACAACATCGACAAAAAAACCTAATATCACTTACAACAAGAAACCCCTAATTCTTTCCTTTAACTCATCTTCACAAAATCAAGCGCATACAACCATCGTCTATGAGAGTATGCATGTCTTCTTCCTCTTACAATCGCTAAGCCCTAACACCGAAGATTGAAACTCAATTGACCCTCCGTTCGAAGAAAAAGGTAAGCATTTTCCTTTTTTATTCCATTCCGTTAGTTCGACCTCATATTCTTCAGTTCTTCGTCTTTTTTCTTCCAGATTATCAACTCTAGCCCTATACTGTGTTTTCTTTAAATGGAGAACCATTCAATTTAGGGCTTGATTGCAATTTTCTCCACAAAGATTATCCCGACAAACTGTGCTGGTAATCCCTCAACTTTGCTTCAGTTTTCTATATGAAAAAAGTTTGCCTGAGTGTTGAACACTTCAGAGATGCTGAAGGTCAAGATGTGCTTCTCTTTATTGACAACATTATCTGTTTCACATAAGTAAGTGAGAAAAAAACATTTATTTCTTGATGAATGTCAAAAATTTACCAATGAATGTTTGACTTTATATACCAACAGACTAACTCGGAGGTGTCTCCTTTACTAATGAATGTTTGACATATGTCCAAGCCATTTATGTCGCTACTGATGATTTGATAGATCTTGCCCCTGCTACAACCTTTGCTCATTTGGATGCCACCACTGTGTTATCCAGACAGGTGAGTAAATATATAACTTTTTCTTTATGTGATTGTATATTGGGGATGATAAAGCAACATGGACTAATAACATTTGTAAAGCAAGAAGGCGTAGATGAAAACGTAAATAGACGAAATTGTTATATCTATGATTCTATATTTCCTGAAACATATTCGAAATATTTAACAAAGAAGAAACCACAATCCAATAAATCCCCCTCTTTGATTCCTTCTAGACCTTAAAAACTTCTTAACACTTCTAAGTTTATCTTCTCAAACTCCCATAGCATCAATAGAAAGCCTACACCCAACAATCCCATCTATACTTCCATCAGAAACCATAACAGGAAGCTCCCACACAGGAAAAAGTAGCCTTGAAGCACACAAACAAACCCCTTCACTATCCCCTGAAAACACCGGTTCAGCTTCTTGTACAACTTGCCCCATGCTAAACCCACCAAGGGCAGTTCGGGTATTTCACAATGCCACACCACTACCTTCAAGTTGAGGCACCCCAACAACTCTTGGATCCTTAAAAGCCTGAGTAGCCTTTTCAACCACAACATTGTTTATAAAATTTTCCGTATGAACTACCCTTGAAGCCAACATTAAACACATGGCAGCAGCTTCACCGGATCCAAATCGGTTAAAAAAGTCTTCCAATCTTTCCCTTGGTGTGTTGGACTGCAACAATTTAATACAAATCTTCGTTATTTATAAAATAATAAAGTTATGTAATAAGATAGTTTAATAACTACACACAAATTATATAATAAAATAGTAATTAATTTACTAAACATAATTAAATAATGTAATATCATAATATAAAATAACAAAGAAATGGTTACATAGCATTGGAAAATGAATCAACAAATAAAAATGCTTTTGGTAATCTTGATGAATATTGCACCATTCGAAAGAGTATTTGCTTTCCCATGGAGATGCTCTAAGAATGAGCATTTTGGACTCTGAAGTCAAAATATTTTCACACTTTTTACATATATATGAACAATATAATGTTTATTACAACTATTATTTTTACATTTACATGTACAATATAATGTTTATTACAACTAGTTTTGCAATGCATATGGAAATGATATGGTTTAAATATCAAGAACTTAATTAGTATTTTCCTTGATCTGTTGTTTTGTAGTAACCATGGTTGCTTTGTTGACAGGTCGAAATCATATAAAAACCACACAAAAGTGTATGCATGATGAACTAAAGTATTTAGGTTCTGCTTGGGAAGAACTGAAGCATATACGTCAAAAGCCAAAGAAAACACTGGCTGAACTACACCACTGGTGTTTTAACGCAACTGATGAGGTAATTCTGGTCTTAAAGATTTTATTTTAATCAGTTTTAATCCCATTCAGGTTATACATCAAAATCCAAAGAAAACAATGGATGAAATAAGTCATGACCTCTGCCCAGTGAGTCATGTTTAAGTTTTAAAGAACATCTTGTCTCGAACACCATACTATGATGCCTTGTTTCCCATCCTTACTGTAGATGATGTTGTGAATCAGGGAAGATTCTGGTTGAATGTCCAGGTGATTATTACTTTGTAAATTAATAGAAAGGGTTAATGGCATAGGCAACAAATTATATGAAATTTACTCATTCAGTGATCAAGATTATAATTGTGTTTTGTTTCATTGTTGGTTTGCTAACCTCCCTTCTGTTTATACATTTGCAGCATGATGCATTTTCCAGGCAACACAATTTGAGTATGAGAAATTTTGTGATCGATGCTTCTAAAGGAAATCTTGTTAAATACATATCATCACCCGAGGTGGAATTTCTGAAAAGTATCATGACAACATTCAAATCAACCACCACAAAACTAATTTTCAGATTTCTAGAAGTGAACAAGACTGAGCCCTCAACCAATCAAACATATGGTTCACTTTTAAAAAATCTGACATTTATCAAGACATTTGCTTCTGGTGTTTTAGTTCCTAAATCATACATATGGCATGTGGATAATGACTTCTATTTACAGCCATCTACCTCATTGGTCTTGGATGCCCACAAAGAGGGTTTACAAGTATTTGGTTCAAATTTCATGAATGATGTGCAACTTGCGTATAATTACAGTTATGACCCTGTAGAAGAGGATCTGTATTTTGTGGATAATGGAAGATTCTCTGTGGATGGTGTGCTTTCCGATAATCCAGTGACTCCATCAACAGCTTTTAGTAAGTTTTGAACCCTTTAAATCTCATGATATGATTAAACATATATTGAAAAAGGTTGAATGCAAGAAATAACATTCTATTTTCATAAGCTAATATTTCTACAATCATGCAGGTTGTTTTTCTCATATTGGGAAAAAACATTCTCAGCCAGGTGTGTCATTTTATACACAATCATTTGACATTTATATATGTTCATCATAAATCATAAATTAAATCCCTTGTTGCTTCAGGAAAAGGAAAGCCTTTAATTATATCATTTGAAGGAGCAAGTGGGTAGTTTCCAGGGAGTAGTGATTCAGCATACAAAAAAGTTGTTTCAGATGGAGCAGATATAATCGATTGTCTTGTTCAGATGACAAGTGATGGAGTAGCTTTTTTCTTAGGTGACATAAACCTTCTTGAAAGGACAACAGTTGCTGAGTCAGATTTTGGCAACCTTTCATCCAGTGTTCCTGAGCTTCAATCTGGAAATGGAATATGTCTTTTCACCAATCTTGTCCCAATGGTGACCATTAAAGCACCTCTGCATTCACAGTCGATCTGTTGTGAACCAAGAGTTGTTGTGGAAAGAGAAGTGCTTTAGAAGACTTGTCACTTTGAACTAGAAACTCATCCCTTGAACCACTTCCTAAATGCAACATTCCATATTTTCCATTCAAATTCTTTGCAAGAACAATTCACCTAGTCATCTGGTAGCTAGCAGGGATGAAATGAGTGCTTTGGAATCTTCTTAACCCGATCAGGTAATGCCAAATAGCAACACACTTCCCTTTTTATTGTTCATTATAGCATTACACTTTCATTTCTTCTTATTATAATATGAAAATTCACTCAATTATAAGTACAATGTTGTAATAGATTGATTTAGAAGTGAGATGCTATAATAAACAAATTGAAGCTATATATATATATATATATATATATATATATATATATATATATATATATATATGCTTTTCATCAACATAATTGCTTCTTCTTTGTATGGCTAGTTCTCCTCTGTTGACCATGGAGTAAGCAAGCTGTCTCTTCTGTTAAAAGTTAGAATCGCGAATTATAATCAAGACTTGTGATTAGTTGTATATGTTGGACAGTATATTATTTGACATTTTTTGGAATAGGTGTTAGAAGTGACTGTGAGATTCATTTAAAAGGATGCAGTGAAGAAGAAAACATCATTCCACCCATCACCGTATTTCAAGTTATTCATTGATTGGATACTTGACCTTAATACCCTTGATCCGGTTTTTAAAGGTGCAAACTTTCAGGTGTGTATTCACTCTTCTCTTTTCTCAATCATATCATCTTGTATTATATTGCATGTTAAGTTACCGATTTGCCTTGTGCAGGTTCTGACAGCTCTAGCAACCTCCTTCCATGCCCTGGTGCCTCTCAAAGTTCCTGCATTCACGTTATTCTCTTAGAAAGGAAATTGTCAAAGGAGATTGTCAAAGGAGAATTTAGTCATGGGTTTCTTTAAATGTTGTACATGTTTTGTTTTCTATAATAAATATTATGCAATATTAGCAATGTGTTACATTTACTTACAATTGAAATGCTTATTTGTATTTGACATATTAATGAAATGAATTATCTTAATTGTTTATGGTATTTTATTTTGTATTATGAGACTTTTAATGTGTTATTTAATTTGAAAATTAGTAAATCTATCAAAAAATATATAATTTTAAAAACATTTAATATTATGGCACGCAAAAGTGTGTGTCGTCTTCCTTTATGACAGGGGCTTCCTTGATACGCATTGCGTGTCATAAACACACGCGTCGTAAGGTTACGACACGCAAGTGCGTGTCGTCTTCCTTTATGACAGGGCCTTCCTTGATACGCATTGCGTGTCATAACTGTGTGTCGTAAATGCGTGTCATAAATGCGCGTCGTAAATGCGTGTCGTAAATAGACGAAACGCAAAAGCGTGTCGTCTCTCGTTATGACAGGGCCTTCCTTGACACACATTTGTGCGTCGTCTGAGCACTTTACAACACGCATTGCGCGTCGTAAAAGGCTATTTTCTAGTAGTGACTATGGACTTAGTGCCTGTTGGATGAACCCTGCCAGTGATGGACTTCGTGCCTATTCCTCAGGACAATCCTTAGGAATGAATGAATGATGAATAGACGATTCTTAGGGTAGATCCTTAAGAATAAAGAAGATAATGGGGATGGGAAGTTGGGTTAATTGTTTGACGATTAAACATAATAATTATATTATTATGGGTTGAAAACCCTATGTACTCACCAGGTTTCCCAACCTGACCCACTCAGTTTATTTGTATCACATGTATCGATACGAAGACACATTACACTGAGAGATTAAAGGTGATGTAAGCCATTAGTGTAAATTAATGAAAGGTCTTTTTATGCGTATGTTTTGGTATTGACGATGACATCCCAATATTTTAATATAAACAAAATACATTTCTTCGGAAATGCTTTGATAATATATTTATCATGTTTTATGGGAACAAATTCTGCAATATTATTCTTTAAAATGAATACTCTGATTTTTAAATAAGCATAAATAAAAATTTTAAAATGACCGTGAATTTGGGGATGTCACACTTAGTATCAGAGCATTAGTTTAAGGGAACTAGAAATTTGTAGGAAATTTCTAGACTTAAACTTAGAAATGCTAAGCGATGATTGTGAGATGAGTGTCTTCTATATTTAGGAAGTATGCCTAAATAGACACAAGCACTAGCTTATTTTAGGAAAGATGCCTAAATTGCTTTTATGTGCTAAATGATTTATGATTCTTTATGATGTCATTATTTGATCGGATCTATAGTCTGTTGTCGACCGGATCTGGAAATTTTATGTGTTCATATATCTAAACGGTTAATTACGGTATTAGAACTAGCATGTAACTTTTGGAGTAATAACTAATAAGGAGGATTGCACGTGTAAACCTTCTCTCTATATATTCTCGCCTCGATACATTAAACACATGCTTCCATGAATATAATGTCATGGTGAAATTGAGTAAATGGAGGAAAGGAGAAGGCTTAAGATAGTGAATGATACCTATCGAAAGATATCGTAAGAGCGGTATCATGCCTTTAGAATACGTCTAAATAGATAATACGTCTGGTACAGGAGAAGTACACTTTCGATTGGCAGAAAGAAAGAATTTTTGGTATAATCCATAAAGTTATCCCATGGTCTTGAATTTCCACTACCAAACCAAGTTGAAGTAGAATTGATGATTGAAGATACGCACGGAAGAAATCCTAGTAGAGTTTAGGGAAATTTTTATGATTATTTGAAGACATTCGTGTATGTTAAATCATTTTGTGATTTTAGGAAATAAGAACTTGGGGACTGCGAGACAATACTAGGGACAAGTATGAGTATGTGTGAAAGGTAGTAGAGGCCTATACTACCAGAAGCACATGACTCATACTTGGATCAGGGAAAGTCACAAGGTTACCAAGGCGCTAGTAATTGATTATGTTTGATTCATGTCTGTCGTTACCATCGTTTTGGTAATGACTAAGAAGATTATTGTTATTCCGACCCTAGTATTCATATCAAAATCGAGTTCTGCAAAGATAAGTATGTTACGTGGTTTAGAGAACCAAGTTCGATGTAACATCCGACTTAAGCCAGACGATTGAAGTGAAAGATAATCGAAGTGATCAATAGTAGTATTGTGATCACCGTTAAAGTAAAGAAGCTTGTAGTTAGAAGTGCTACATGCTAGAATGTGATTATATCACATTAGAACATGAAGAAAGGTATATTCCATTCTACAACTTGACTCTAAAAGACCATAGTCTAAGCGTTGCGTCATACGATGAGAGGTCATTAGAACATGACCCATCGGTCTATTATGGTAATCGAAGGAAATAACTTATCTTTAGTTTATTAAGAAGAAGAAGGAGTCTCCAATAAGGATCGAGATTGTGACTTGAAGGTCACGATTGAAAGTCCAACATGAGATAGAGAGCGGGTGCAAGATCGAGCACCGCCTGCAGACAAGAAGTCCAAGAGTTAGATACTCATTCGAAGGAACATAGAAGTTACGGTTATTACCAAGGATGAAGAGATAACGTATGGAGTCATTTTATAAGTCCTGTTTCGTTGATGATTCCGTGACGTAATCATTTTAAGGGGAAGATACTTGTAACGCCCGCATATTCGGGCTAGTCAATTTAGAGACAATAAGCGTCAAAAATAACTTTTCTGATAGAAGATTATTTAGATAAATAATCTTGACCAAGTTTTAGTATATGTCACAAGGGTTCCGTACATATAAACAACGCTGAAATCCGAGTTATAATGAAGAAGTTATGACCTGTCGAAGTTTTACGGCTAAACCGGCACGGCACCACGTAACGTAAAAAGTGAATTTTTGATAAATTACTTTTTAGCATTAGGGATGTAAACGAAAGTTGTAGTATATGTTAAACCGGGAACCTACATAAAAAGAACGTCCAAATCTGACATCGTATGAGGAAGTTATGATTTTTCTAAGATTTAGCATAGTAGTGCATAGCTCGGAAATCGAATTTTAGATCAGTCGATTTTTAGCCGACACAACCTAAATGAGAATTGAAGATATCATGAATAGGAGCTCAATGATATAAATACAGACGACAACGGACGTTGTATGACAATGTTATGAATTTTTAACGGACTTTATCTGTCTAAGTCTGATAAAATATAACTTTAAAAATAAAGTCAAAATTAGCCGACGGAGTCTAAACGAAAGTTGTGGATCACGTTTCCGCCTACGCTTATATATAAAAAAGGTCAAAAATGGAGCTCTCATGCGAAAGTTACGGATTTTAGAAGATAATTAGTTTTTGGTATAATCTGCGAGTGACATGTGGCACAATCCTGACTATTGCTTCCTCCCCACGCCTTGACACCAGATAGTGAAACTTGGCACTCAACTCGACGAGTTGGAGGCTCAGAACTCACCGAGTTGGGCCATTTCCCAGCCTATAAATAGAGGCGAAAATCTTCCATTTCCTTCACACCTCTCCCATTCTTTCTCTCTCAAACATCTCTCTAAAGCCCTCCCAAGCCTAAGTACTTCCCAATTGCTAAGAGGCAAATCCCGGAGCGCCAGAAGGATCCGATAAGAAGAGCTTTCGGCTCGGAAGTTCTGCCTCCGCAGAGCCCGGTTCCTAGCCAAACCTCCTAGTAAGTGAGTTATGTTTACCCTACTTTAAGTATAGCTTATGTTTAAGTTTATTATCGTTATTATGAACTTATAAACAATATATATATATATAATATATATATATATATAGATATAGATATAGAATATATATATATAGATATATATATATATATTAAATATAATGTACAAAGTGTTATTATAATATCTTTTAACTACTCGCTGTATGAGAAATCTGGTTTGAAGGGCCGCATAGGGTTGTTGGATTCAGAAATGTTATAACGCCAAAATGGTCCCGCCCTCCGGTGTTTCATGTATGGCCCTTGTCGGTACATAGTGGTTGAAAAGTATTGTGTAACAATTATAAAACAATATCGCTCGTAAATAGCAATAAATATTAGACTAAAATCTAGCGGTAATGATACTAGGTTTCGCCGA